AGTTTTTATTTTCTAATACAATTTAATTGAATAATTTCCGAATAAACGAAATTTCGTAAAATTTAATTATTGTAAACAAATTGGCCTTGAATTATCTTAAAGAACTTTGTAAGAAATTATTTAAAACAATTGATTTAAAGAAGTTTAGTTAAAAATTCCAGAAAATAATAATTGAATTATGATATATTTATTGAAATGATGAAAAAAATTTTGAAGAAGTTAGAGTAAAAATATTATTCTTGTAAGTTATTCAATTTTCAAAGTTTTGAATTTGGAATTTTTAAAGATCTTTTTTGAGTATCTAATCATTTTTAGAGTGAATCAGAATATTCTTTACTGTCAGGGATAAAATAAAAATTTTGTCTGCAAATCAGAGAACAATCAGGGAAAAATAAAATTAATTTTTTGTGGCAACCCTGATAAAATAAATAAAAATTGATGAATAAAATAAATAAAAATTGATGAATATAATAAATAAAAATTGATAAATAAAATAAATACCTAGTAATTGATAAATAAAATAAATTTTAAACTCCGGAAGAAGTGAAAAATACTTTAAAAGAAAAAGAATCTGCAACACTTTTGAAATACTTTTTCACGAATGTTATGGTGAAAACGAGAATAGTGCCTGCTTCTGTTACAAATGCGTAGAATCGTTTCACGGTTAACCTTGCACCTGTCGCGACAGCTTACCTGCGCTTCTTTTCTTCGTTTCTCTTTCGTCTCCACGTGAAATTCTTCATCTTTTTTTTTCTTTTTTCTTCTCCCCATTCTCCAAATCGAGTTACAACATTGTCTGCCCTCGAATCGAACAATCGCTTCGTGAGAGATTCGTCTTTTCATTTATACAAACATTTATTATGTAAACTACAAAACCATCTAATTTAAATGAAAAGAAAAAAAGTTTTCAGTTCTCATTAATTTTATTTTTTTTTTTTTTTGAAAAAGAACAAAAATGTGACTTTTTGGATTTTGGATCACTATTTTCATATAAAAGGCAACGTTTGCCCGAAACTATTATTAATTGAATTTTGTTATTTAATTTCTTGAATTTTAAATCCCGGGAAAAAATAACAAGTATATTTAAATATTTATTTTAAAAAATTTAATTGAATTTTGAATAATTAAATTTAGAAAGTTGTGAAAATTCAAAAAATTTGTGACAACACTGAATAGAATCCTTTTTTTGCATCTTTAATCGACCAAAGCGATTTTTTTTTTGCCTTTTTTTCCGAGGCCTGAAAATGTTTAAAATAAAAATTACCGCAATGCAGTTAGATATTTATGTGTGTCCTAACTGAATTCGACTGTTGATTGAAAATGTAGAATATTCTTGCATTCCAGTCACACAAAAATGCAGCGAAGCGTGTTATCGCTGTATTAAAAAATTCTATGCATCCCCAAGTGATCGCAAGCGCACAGACTCTGTAAACGTGAGAGTCGAAAGTAAAGGAATTTTTCTTGAAAAACGCAAACTGCCAGAAGGTATAAATGTGTGTGTATATATATATATTTGCCACGAAAAGAGCAGCCAGACAATTGATTTTACCTCTCCTCGCGCCCTATTCCATACAAAACGAGCGAGGAAAAGTTGAAACTTTAAAAGCAAATTTAAACAACCAAAAGTTTCATCCGATAAAAGTTTAATTCATGGAAAAACATGAGAGAGCCTATATTCACGAAAATTGTATACGAAATTGAATAATGTAAAATGTATATATGAATAATTTTTGTACTGTGTAGTAATAAAAATTCACTTCAATTTCTTTTTATTTTAAAGAATATATATTAGTTTTTTTTTTATCATATTTTTTTGTAATTTCTGACTAATAGGACCTACTAATTACTGGTTTTACACTCCTCTATTAAAACCCACTGTTTACTATTTTTTTACGATTAGCAACTATTTAGATAATTTTTTTTTAAATTTGTTACACTAAAAGCTACTTTTTCCTTTTTTTAGAATTTACAAAATAATAAAATTGTCCCAAAGATTTAATTATTTCCAAATCTTTTAATAAAATTTTTGGAGAGAATTCAATTATTTTCAAAAATAATCTGACGTCTATCTTTCGACATTGTTGCACCACTAAACGTTAATTTTTACCAAAGGCAAAAAAAGAAGAAATTAATCAGATAAACATCAAGAATGAAATAAAAAAAAAAAGTTTTGAGTGAAAATAAATTAGGTGAAGGAGTTTTAAAAAGCAATTTTCTCACAATCGTGCAACCAACCTCATTATTCAAACTGCGATTTTTATCAAACTTTGCCATTTCCTCTTCTTACAAACTCTCCATTATTGTAATACTTATATATATAAAGCGAGATTAGCACGCATCGTGTCACTCAACTTGTGTGTCAATGGACCCAGATTATAAACATTATGTAAATAAGTATAAATTGTTAATTGTATATTCCAGCAATGCGAGATTAGTGGAACTGATAAGAAGATGGCACATGCATTTATTTTTTTTTCTCAATGCAAAAACTATTGTTGAAAAAAAATTTACAATAAGGATATTAATCTTATAATCAAGTGTAAATGTACTCGAGTTTTTTCTATAGCTTATACACGACAGCAATTGAAGATTCTTTGCAAAAAAAAAACAAGAGAAAAAATCTTTTTATTACTTCTTCGCGCAAAACATATGGAATGTAAGAAACGTTTTTCTCATTTTTGCATTACAAATATATTCAAATGAATCATTGATTATGCATGGATAAATAAATCTAAGTGGGTCAGAGAGAATTATCGATTCTATTTCAAAAATCTGTTTCTGCTAATTATGAATATTGATTATTGTTTACATAATAGTTCATTTTTCGTAATAATTAACAATATAATTTTTTTGTATTTTTTAATTAATTTAAAGAAGGAAGTTAATTAATTAATTAAATTGATTTTAATTTAATATTAATTAATTTATTTTTAATATTTAATTTGTTTTTTTTATTTACTATTATTTTTATTATTTAATTTAATTATTAATTAATTATTATTAAAAACAAACTTTTAAATTAATTATTAATTAATCTTTAAAATGCATTTTTTGTTTTTTATTTCTATATTTTTTGAATAGAAATTATTTTCCTCTTTTTTGAAAATAGTTGTAATAATAAAGTATTTTCTTTTTGTTTCAGGTGAGTCACAACATTTCCTGTCGAATTTATTTCGTAAGTAAATATTGAAATTTATATAATTTATATATTATGAGATTTTTAACGAAAACTATTTTTGTTGAAATGATAATTAGAAAATTTTCGTTTTGCAAAATTTCTGTTTCAAATATTTATGAGCGATGAATATTTACAAAAAGACTAGTACAATTTAGATTGTCATTAATTTTTTTTTTTTCGCAATTCGTGACGCCATTTAGTTCCGGAAGTTTTTCGAATATTATTATCGCTAAATCATCATCATAATTTTTTTTTTTAATTCCTGCTACGCTTGAAATAAATAATAATATACGCAAACAGTATAATAGTGAATCATCACATACATATAGAAAGGAGAGAATAAGTATTTCCGGTTTTAAGTTTTACCCCACAATAGAGTTTTGCCATAAATCTGTTTTTTTTTCTCTCGAATTTTTTTTTCTCTCATTTTCGTATATTTTTAAATTAAAATCATCCGAGTGTGACGAATTTTTTTTTCTCTTTCTCTTCATTTATTTATTTTTTTTTGTGAATATAGTTGCGAAATAAGAATGGCGGATAATATACCTCGGGCATTTATATATACCTATACAAATGACAGAATATAGGGGGGTGGCAAGGGGGAAATAAGTAATATGAAGTGACGAAGAAAAGATTCCAAATGAGATAACATAAAGTGGAAAGGCATGTCGAACGATTTTTGCTTACAAAGAACATTTGAGGAAAAAAAATTTTCTTTTCTTTTCTAATAAAAAAAAAAAAGTTTATTCAATGAAATAATCTTAAATATCCTTTTGCGCATTCTCATCGTATTGTATGAGAAGGTATTGCTTTTTAGATTAGAATTTAATTTTTAAATTATTAGAAAATTAGAATGTAAATTGATTTCTGCGATTAACATGAAATTTATCAAATTATAATGTAATTTTTGGATTAAATTTTAATTCGATCTGAATTTATCTTATCAATTTGATCCAATTTTGCAATAATTTGGTCCAATTTCATATGTCAAATTTGTTCAATTTGGTTGTGATTTGTTACCTTCAAGAAAATTGTTGTGATCTTTTTTTGTACGCGAACTAATTAATTAAATTAATTTTCGATTAACTAATTAATCATTACTAATTATTGATTAATAATAATGATATTAAAAAAATAAATAAAAATAGTAGAACAATAATAAAAAATAATAATAATAACAATAAATAAAAACTATATTGATAAAAAAACATAATAATAATAATGATAGTAAAAAAAATAAAAATAGTAAAACAATAATAATAAAAACAATATTAATAAAAAACAACAATAATAATAATAAAAATAGTAGAAAAATAATAATGATAATAATAGTAATAATAGTAATAATAGTAGTTGAAGCTAAAGCGAAATAATTATTTGAAGTAGAATTTGAAGAAAAGAAAGTACTTTATCTGAAGATTAATTAGTTCAACCCATACTGGGATGTTTAATTAGATTCATTATTCTGACGTTATCATCATCTTTTCGTGATATTAATTAAAAGATTATTGTATATAAATAAGCAGTTTGTAAGGGAAAAAAAAGTCATTAGATATAGCAAAGTGGCTAATTAGTTTTTCAATCTTAATGCTTAATTGGAAAATAGTAATTTAACTTGGGATGCGAAGAAGTGTAGAGTCATAAAATTGAAAAAAAAAGAAAAGAAAAAAGAAAAAAACAAGGGAGGTTGTATGGAATGCATTGCATTGGTCGGCGGACAATACTAATACGCTAAAAGTATATCGCGAAAATAGGATTGAGAGAGGAGAGAGCGAGCAGTAAAAAGGATTATTGCAAGTAATTAATTCATGACAGTACTCACCTGGTCAGTCATATTGTATCCGTCGTGATGATACGACGTCTGGTGGTGCTGCGGTACGCTCAGAGACAAATCGATGTTGTCACTTCTCTGCAAAAAAAAAAAAAATTGAAGATAAAATTATTTATATTGCTAATTGGAAATATGCAAAAAAAATTACAATATTGCTAATTAAATAATAATTTTTTAATTAAATAATAGTTTTATAATTAAACAATATCCAATTAAACAATATCTAATTAAACAATGCTTTCCTAATTAAATCTTCTCTTAAATTCATTTAACGATAATTAAGAATTTTTAATAATTAAAGAAAATTAATACTTAAAAGAAAGGAAAAAATTAAACGTTATTTTTTTTAAAAATGAAATTTAAAGATTAAAATAAAAAAATGTGGATCAATATCAAAATTCAATTATTTTTAAAATTGTTGCTAAATTTACTAGCGGAATTTAAATTATTTTCAATTAAGAAATTATTAATTAATTATTATTATTAATTATTTTCGTTAATATTTCTCGTAAGAATTGAATTATTTTTGATAAATTTCTTGACAGAATTACAATTATTTTTTAAATAGAATTTCTGGAAAGAATTTAGTTCTTAAATTTTTTTATGATTATCTTGTCACAATTTCAATTATTTTTTTAAATAAGAATTTCTCAAACGAATTCAATTATTATTCTTAAAATGTTTGATAAATTTCTTTAGAGAATTTCAATTATTTTAAATTCCTTGCAAGAATTCAATTATTTTCAACACAATTTCAATAAAATATCAGAATTTAATAATTTTTAAAAATGTTGATAAATTTCTTTGCAGAATTTCAATTATTTTTTATTTCTTGCACGAATTCCATTGTTTTCAATGAAATTTCTTCGAAAGAATTCAATTATTCTTAAATTTGTTTATAAATTATTTGTCAGAATTTCAATTATTTTAAATTCTTTGTAAGAATTCAATTATTTTCAGTGCAATTTTAATAAAATTTTAGAATGCAATTATTTTTAAAAGTGCTGTTAAATTTTTTTTTGCAGAATTTTCAATTATTTTGAATTTTTTGTATTAATTCAATTATTTTTAATAAAATTTCTCAAAAAAATGCAATTATTCTTAAAATTTTTTTATAAATTTCTTTGTAGAATTTCAATTATATTGAATTCTTTGTAAAAATTTAATTGTTTTCAATAATATTCCTAGTCAGAATTGAATTATTGTTCTTTGATAAATTTCTTGGCAGAATATCAATTATTTTTTAAATAAAATTTCTCGAAAGAATTTTATTCTTCAATTTTTTTATGAATATCTTGTCACAATTTTAATTATTTTTTTAAATAAAAATTTCTCGAAAGAATTCAATTATTCTGAAAAATTTTGATAAATTTCTTTGCAGAATTTCAATTATTTTAAATTCCTTGAAAGAATTCAATTATTTTCCATACAATTTCAAAGAAATATATCAGAATTCAAGTTTTCTTTAAAATAAATCGCTAAATTTTTCATTAATTAATTATTAAATAACTTGGGCTCTTCGATGTTTGTTACAATATATTAATAGAGTCACTAGTAAAATTTTACCAAAAAAAAAAAAAAATAGAATAGAATTTTTTAGAAAAAAATTGAAATATTGCTAATTAAATAATAATTTTCTAATTAAACAATATCTAATTAAACAATGCTTTTCTAATTAAATCGTCTCTTAATTTCATTAACGATAATTAAAAATTAAAATATAAAAAATAATTTCAAAACGGGGAAAGAATGAAACATAATTTTTTCAAAATAAAAATCTAATGATTAAAGTACAAAAAATATGGAAATGACAAAAAATACGAAGAAAATTAATTGAAATAATTTAAAAAAAAAATAAAATAATTCTTTTAAACATGACAATTAAAGATTAAAATAAAAAAAAATGCGGAAATGAATAAAAAATTAAAATAATTTGAAAAAGGAAAAAGAAATAGATACGCTATTGTTAAAATTTTAAATCAGTTATTGCGTAATTAAATACATAAATCATTCCTCTGTTCAATTAAATGTCAACTTCACTGTTCAATTAGATACGCCACTTTTATTTACTCAATTAAATAAATCAATTTTGTTCCGCGAATTAAATTTCAAGATTTACTGTTTATTCAATTTAATGCCGAGAATTATTTGTTGACTATAAATAATTAAACGAAATATTTGTTGTTTACATTAATTTAATTAAATTTTTTATCCGTAGATTGTTTGAACATCTGAATGATATTTAATATAATAAATTGAAAAATTGATAAAAATCGAAAAGGACACAAAATTGCAAAAATTAGAGATTTTTTCCATTTACTTTTTATTAGGGAAGAAAGTAAATAGTAATTAATAATTTAGCATTGAAGTCTGAAAAACTGTATTTAACATAAATAATAAAGAAGAAAATAAATTTTAATATTTATTTTTTAGTCATTTATTCACTGGGAAAAATTTATTCATTCAAATAATCGATTACTTGTCTGTTAGCAAATAAATATTTAGCTGAATCAAATAATTTTTACTTAAATCAATTAAATATTTGCTTATAACAATATTCGGCGATTAAAATATTCCTTTCTGCCAATTTTACAATAATATTTTAAAATTAAATAAAAATTAAAAATTAAAATTAAATAAATAAATTTTATTTATTTGTAAAATTTATTGTAAAATTGACAAAAAGGAATTTTAATTACCGAATATTGTTATAAGCAAATATTTAATTGATTTAAGTAAAAATTATGTTTTATTTTTTATTTAAAAGAATTTTTATTTTATTTAAATAGTAATTTTGTAATTTCTATAGAAATTACAAAATTGCTATTTAAATAAAATAAAAATTCGATATTAATTATGTAATAAATGTAATAAAATAATTAGTTGTTACATTGCCGGAAAATAGAGTTATTAACATTAAATTACAACAATTATTACTGCAATTGAGAGTTTTGTTTTATCTATATACTCAATTAACGGTTCTCCCACACGTGTCTAAATAAATATCTCTCACTTCGAGATTTCTGAATTGATATAAATTTTAAAAATAGGGGAATGTAGTCAAGGTTGGTCTACTGTCTAGGTAGGCCATCGCGATTTTTTGGACAAGTTCACTAGCGCCACCTACACGCATGCTTGTCGAAGCTTATCTTAGTGTAACCTAACTTTTTGTTCAATTACATTTTCGGAGGATCGAAAATTGTGTTTTCTGTGACGTCGGTACAAAAAAAGCTCAAAAAAAGTTTTGTGCATAATGTGAAAAACCATTAATAAAAGATAAAAAACAAATTGAATCGTCAAGGCAAGTATGCAGAAAATTTGTGGGACTCATGGTTGAAAGGAAAACAAAGTAAAAAATCGAATCCCGAAACGTATTTCTTTATGGTTACAACAATTCGGTAATGTTACTTACTGTCAAGGTCGGCCACTATGTGTTTAAAATGCGCAAAGTTGAGGACGAGCTACTTCATTTGCAAAAACTGCAATTCTGTATAACTCATAATATAATTGATCATCTTATTAATATTTTTATTTAATTTTATTAATATTTTAGTGCAGAATTTTTTTTTATTTATATTTATTTTTTTATATTGTTTATTGTTATTATTTTGTTATTTTATTAAGTTACAAACTGTAAACAATAAAGAATCAATATTCCGTAACTCCAAACATGTTATTTTATTTTTTAACGATTAATGCCCTTTGAATTTTAAACATGGCCGACCTTGACTGTAATGGCCAACCTCGACTACAAATTTTTTTTTTTTTAAATCTTTATAACTTTTTCATTTTAAAACCAATCAATTTACTTTGTACAGAAAAGATGTTCCTATTAAACAGGACTTTCCAACCATATACTTCAATTGTCCAAATTCATTTTTAAAAAAAAGTTATAAACAAAAGTCAAAAAGGTGGCCGACCTAGACTATGTTCCCCTACATAAAAAAAAATTACACACAAAACAAGAGTCTTAATTTATTTATATCATTAACATTCACGAGATATATAGGCTTATACTTAAAATAGATTCCGGTTTAAATAATATACATATGCACTTTCACAATGTTGCTAATAGGTAAACAGATTAATTATTTAATATCAAGTAAAGGGGGTCAGAAAAAAAAGAAACAAAAAATTGTAACTTGTTTGGCAAGCAGAAATTGACAAATGATGGATATAAATCGATTGAGAGGAGATTAGCGTCAGAAAATGTTTTCTTTTGGAGCGTGCCGTTGATTCTTGGGTTTCTTTTTCATTTTCTCTCTCTCTCTCTTTAACTCTTTTACAGTCTTTAAAAGGCCTCGAAGAGAAAGAAATCGCCATCATTTGTTCACCTGCCAATCGAGATCACGGCAGGTCTAGAACTCTCTTAAGTTAGTCGTCGTCGTCGTTTCTTTCCCACGACTGGGGAAACGAGTCTCTCTCTCAATTTATATATATATGTATATAGAGCTTGTTTTATTATAACTTCAATAACGGATTCTAATGACTTTATCGATCGTTAAATCGTGTATATCTAAGAGGTAATCGTGTCAGAGCCGTCAATAGATTTATAAAGGAGAGAAAAAAAAGAAGAAAGAAAAAGGCTTGTGCGAAAATCGTTATGTAGGAGATGATCGAATGCATTCAAATCAAGAGATAGAGTGAGAGAGAGATGAAATATATTATGTATAATGTATATTATAATATGCTGTAATCTTATAATAACAAGTTTTAACACTCGATGAGTGGTCAATTGACAGTTATCGATAGTTGAAGTGTTTTGTAACAAGATTTTACAATGGTGATGTAAATTTGTTGATAAAAAAAAAAATTTGTTTTATGTAAGATACATTTTTTTTGCTGGTGGTATTGAAAAGTTAATTTTATAGCGTAATATTGATGGAATTAATAATTCAGTATAGTTGATTAATTATTATTAATAGAAATAATAGTAATTTGATGAATATTATTAATTAATACAGAATCTATTGTAATTATTTTAGGCTTCACACTCATCTACTAAAACCTACTATTTACTATTTTTTTTACGTTATGCTACTATTTGGGTACTTATTTTAGATTTCAGTCACTAAAAG